TTCAAGCCCCAGGACTGGCAAAAAAAAAAAAAAAATATATATATATATATATATATTTAGTAGTAATGGCAAATACAAAATATTAGTATGCAGAAGACCGTGAATTCAATCCCTAATTACCCCTCTCCCCCCACCAAAAAAAGTATGAATGACTGTTACTAAGAGAGAGGAAGTGGATGTGCCAGACTTGAGGGAAAAAGGCAAGCAATGATACAAGGCCCTGAGTTCAAGTACACAAAAAAATGTGAGGAAAATTTATATATACACAAAGATATCAAGCAACTGTAGCAAAATATTAAGAATTGGGGAATCCAGCTAAATTTATGGGATTTTTAACTTAAAAGTTTATTAAGTATAATTAAATTTAGGCATTTATTTAATAATAAATTGTCAAAAACTCACTTCACATGAGTTGGTTACAAGAAGCAAAAAAAAGTCAAATAAAGATTCTATAATAAGAATAGTACTTCTTTACCTTATTTATGAGAAAATTTTAAGTTAACTTGAACGTTCTATTTATAAAAGCAAAATATTAATTTCTAACTCTTTTCTTTATAGTATCTTTTGGCTATGACTTTTGTTTATTTCAAGAGAGCTAAATTTACTATTAATGAGCATACCAGGATAAATTTCTTTATTGCTCTGTAAGTACACTTTCTGCTAAATAACTTTTTATGCTATTTACAATGAGTAAATAAATATAGATGTATATATATGATCTTTTAATTTAAAACAGAACCAGTTTAAAACTATGGATATCTCTGAATAGGCCTTACTGTGTAAATGCTACACATCTATTACTTTCATAGGATATTTTTATGTTCTTTTTACTGACCTTATCATGCTGTATGCCTAAGATTTATTGTTTAACATTCCACTTGACTACATTGTGTCTTCTATATTTTTGAGTAACGTCTTATAAATTATTTCAAATTCTCCTCTGCTATGATTTAGATTGTTTTAAGTTTTTTATTAGCATACATTAGTTTGCAAAGGGGGACTTACTGTGATGTTCTTATACATACATACAGTACACTCCAAGCTACCTCCCTCTGTTTCTTTCCCTCTTCGTCTTAAAACAATTCCCTCTTTTCTCTCTTTAACTAACACTCTTAACACTTAAGCCAAACATCTAGCTCTCCCCATTTTGGTGGAGGGGAGGGTCAGTACTGGGGCTTTCCACTCATGGCCTCTTGCTCTTGTTTGGCTTTTTTCCTTAAGGCTGGCACTCTGCCACTTAAGACACACCTCCATTGCCAGCTTTTTACTAGTTAATTGGAGGTAAGAGTCTCAGTTTAGCCGGATGCTGGTGACTCACACCTATAATCCTAGCTACTCAGGAGGCCTCTGAGATCTGAGAATCACTGTTCAAAGCCAGCCTAGGCAGGAAAGTTAATGAGACTCTTCTCTCCAAGAAATCACCAGAAAACCAGAAGTGGTGCTGTGGCTCAAGTGATAGAGTGTTCACCTCTAGCTGAAGAGTTGAGGGACAGTGCCCAGGCCCAGAGTTCAAGCCCCACAACTGACAAAAAAAAAAAAGTCTCAGACTATTTTACCCAGATTGGCTTTGAACGGTAATCCTCAGATCTCAGCCTCCTTAGTATTAGAATTACAGGGGAAGCTGCCAGTGGTTAGCCCCTCCCCCTTATTGAAATGATTTCAGCAAGTTTCATTTTACTATTTTCATACATGCGTATAAAGTACTTCAATCACTACCTTCTCCATAGACCCCCTCCCCTTCTCACCCATAGCAGTCAACCAACATAGCCTGTTTACTTTCCTGTCATTTTTCTTTTTTCTTTTTTTTGCTGGTCCTAGGGCTTGAACTTAGGGCCTGTGCACTGTCCCTGAGCTGCTTTTGCTCAAGGCTAGGGCTCTACCACTTGAGCCACAGTGCCACTTCGGGCTTTTTCTGGGTACATGGTGTTGAAGAATTGAACCCAGAGCCTCATGCATGCCAGGCAAGCACTCTGCCACTGAGCCACCTTCCCAGCCCCTTCTTTTTCATTTTTTAACCTATTGTAAAATGGCTTTCACCAGGGTAAATTGCACATGCATCTATTTTTATTTAGCCACAGTAATCTCATCTATTATTCTCTCATCAGTAATCTCATCTATTGTTCTCTCATTGCTTGGCCCCTGACCACCCCTCCTTATTAAATAGCTTTCAATAAATTTCCTTATGCTACCCTTATACTTAGACAACATGTATTTTGGTATTATCGATCTTCCATTATTATTTTTCTGTCTACCACTACTTAGTTTTTATTTTTAAGCCAGAAATGGTCTCTTTTAAATTGTTAGACAGTGAATAGAACATCTTGTAAAAAAATGTTCTAGATATACTGTTTACTATATATACTGTGTAGATCTTTAAAACTTCTAATATGCACTGATTGTTTTGCTGAACACAAATGATGACAAATGACTATAATTAATTTTCCTTTGTAATTTGCTAAATAGTTTTTTACAGCACAGTTTTTCAATCTGTGGTTCAGAACTCAGCTAGAAAACAAAAAAACTTAAGCTCAGTGGTAGAGCAGTTGCTTACCATATGCAAACCCATGGATTCAATCTCCAGTACCAAAAAGACAAAATAACTTTTTCGGAATGTATGACTGCAAAATAGAAAACCATGTACAAAAATACTTGAATACAAGCCAGACACCAATGCCTTATGCTTGTAAACCTAGCTACTCAGGAGGCTGAGATCTCAGGATTGAAGTTTAGGAAAGTCTATGAGATTTATCTCCAATTAACCACCAGAAGACTCGAAGTGGCACTATGGCTCCAAGTGGTAGAGCACTACCTTTGAGACAAAGAGGGGTGGGGGAAGTAGTCATTTGTGGGGCTTGTATTATTTCTCATGGGAAATTTTCTCCATCCTTATTTTTGTACCAGTATTACTTAACATGTCTCATTTTTCTGATTCCTTTTAAGATATTTTCCTGGGCTGGGAATGTAGCAGTTGAATTCTTGTCTAGCATGCTTGAAGGCCTGAGTTTGATTCCTTAGTACCACATAAACAGAAAAAAATGGAAGTGAAGCTATGGTTCAAGTAGTAGCTGGTAGCTTGCTAGCCTTGAGCAAATGAAGTTCAGAAACAGTGCCCAGGACTCTCAAAAAAAAAATTTCTCTTTAGCACTGGTTTTGATCAGTTGGATGATGATAAACTTTGATTTGATTCTTTTTTATTTTTATTTTATTTCATTTTTTTGGCAGTCGTGGGGCTTGAACTCTGGGCCTGGGCACTGTCCTTCAGCTCTTCAGCAAGGCGAGCGCTCTACCACTTGAGCTACAGCGCCACTTCCGGTTTTCTGGTGGTTTATTGGAGATAGGAGTCTCACAGTCTTTCCTGCCCGGGCTGGCTTTGAACCGTGATCCTCCAATCTCAGCCTCCTGAGTAGCTAGGATTACAGGCATGAGCCACCAGTGCCCGGCTTTTGATGTGATTTTTTTCATATCTCTTGTACTTTCTTGTTTCTTGCCCATTTAGCTTCTTGTGGGTTTATGGTTTTAGTCAAATTTTAAATATTTACAATCATTTTTTATATTTTTTTATTGTGAAAGTACTGTACAGAGGGGTTACAATTACGTGGGTAAGATAATGAGCACATTTCTTATCAAGCATTGTAGCCTCCTGCTTTGTTTCCCCTTCCCATCCCTTCGTATCCTTCCCCCCTCCCCGCCCCCCCCTCACCAAAGTTGTAAAGTTCGTACAATCATTTTTTTTAAGTTGGTTGTGGGGCTTAAACTTGGGGCCTGGGTGCTGTCCTCAGCTCTTCAGCTCAAGGCAAATGAGCCACAGCACCACTTCTGGTTTAATTGAAGATAAGAGTCTCATGGACTTTCCTGCCTGGGCTGGCTTTGAACCGTGATCCTCAGATCTCAGACTCCTGAGTAGCTAGGATTACAGGTGTGAGCCACTGGCACCCGTATACAGCCATTATTTCTTCAAATATTTTTTGCCAACTTGCTACCTTTTAGATATTCCAATTTCATCTTTATTAGATTTTCTTGAGGCTATCTCACCTCTATTTTTGGCCTATATATTTCATTTTAGTTAGATTCAATTACTATCACTTTAGTTCATAAATCTTTTCCAATATTAATCTCTCATTAATACAACTCAGTGTATTTTTCCTCGGAGACATTGTAATTTTCATCTCTAGAACTGCATTCTTAATATGTCTACTTTTTTAACACATGAAATCAGTGTCATTTGTTTAATGTCCTTCACTGTGTCAGACTGATTTTGATTGATTGGTTATTCTCCTTAGTATGGTTTGTATTTTTCTGCTTCTATGTGTTTCTGGCCTCCCCCTCAAGTATTTGGCAAAAGCAAATTTCCATATGTGTATAAGGAAACTACCTGAGTCTAGGAAAAGATGGTAAGAAATACTAGGTAAAATAGTACCTAACATTCATTCACACAGGACTATAACAATGCCTGTTCCCACTAGCTGGTTTGAAAACTTAGTTTAGTTCATGGAGTGTTAAGAAAAATATTCAAGCCAAGTACTGGGGGCTCATGCCTATAAACCTAGCTACTCAGAAGGCTAAGATCTGAGGATTGTGGTTCAAAGCCAGCTTGGGCAGGAAAATCCATAAGACTCTTACCTCCTATTAGCCATCAAAAAGCCAGAAGAGAAATTATGGCTCAAGTGATAGCTAGCCTTGAGCAAAATGCTCAGGGGTAGTATCTCAGACCCTGAGTGCAAGCCACAGGACAGCACAGAAAAGAAAAATAAAGGAAGGAAAAGTATCAAAACTGAACATGTTGGTGATACCTGTAATTACAGCTTCAGAGAGACAGGAAGAACCTAAATTTGAGGACAGCACAAGCAAAGTTAGACCCTCTCTGAAAAACTACAAAGAGCTGAGGACATAGTTGAAGTGGTAGAGTACTTGCATACATAAAGTCCTGGATTCAGTTTCTAGCATTACAAAGAAAAAGTGCTAACCTCGTACCTGTAATCCTTGCTACTCTGGAGGCTGAAAGCTGAGGATCAAGGTTCAAAGCCAGCGTGAGACTATCTTCAGTAAATCACCAGAAAACTGGAAGTGGTGCTGTGGCTCAAGTGGTAGAGTGCTTGCCTTGAGCTGAAGAGCTCAGGGACAGCACCCAAGCCCAGAGTTCAAGTCCCATGACCTACAAAAAAGAAAAAGAAAAAAAAGAAAAGTGCTCAGAATCATGCATGATGGTACATGCCTATAATCCCAGCATTTAGGAATCATGAGTTCAATGCCAGCTTGGGATACATAGGAAAACCTTGTGTTAAAAGAAAGATTCCAAATTCACAGACAAAGAACATACACACATATGCATGTATATACATGTGTATGTATGTAGAAATTCAGGAGGGTCTTGTCTCAGAAATGGGAAATAAAGTTTCAGACTGAACATTGCTCCAGATCCAACTAAGAAATGAAAACTAAAAAGATCAGATTGCTTCCAAGTGACTTAATTGCATACCAGAACCCAAGAAGGTAAAATTCACTATATCTCTGATATTTTAATATGCATTTCTTAGAATGAATTTAAACATCACTGCTTTTCCTGTCCTTACATTTTTTTTTTGGTCATTGGTCCTCTTTGTTAGATATCTGGCTAATACAGTTGAAGAAGATGAAGAAGAATCCAAGTATGAAATTTTCCCATGGGCTTTAGGGAAAAATTGGAGGAAATTGTTCCCTAATTTCTTAAAGTTAAGGGACCAGCTCTGGGATAGAATTGACTATAGGGCTATTGTAAGTAGGCGGTGCTGTGAAGAGGTAAGGATTTCCAAATACTTCATATGTAATCTTTGTATTGTTTAATTTTCCTTATTTTTATTTATTGAATTCATTTTTGCTTTGATATGTTTTTTCCCTTTTTTATTGTGAAAATAACGTACACAGGGATTACAATCACATGAGCAAGATAATGAGTACATTTCTTATCAAGCATTGTTGCCTCCTTCTTCGTTTCTCCTTCCCATCCGTTCCCATACCCCCACCCCCACCACCCCCTACCCAATCCTCCCCCCCCCCTTTGATGTTTTGAGACAGTATTTCACTATATAGCCCAGTCTGGCCTGAAACTCACAATCCTCCTTCCTCAGTCTTCTTAGTGCTAAGATATAGGTTACATTTTTTTAATGCTTTTTTTAATTGTTATTATAAAGGTGATGGACAGAGGGGTATATTTCTTTTTGGACAGTGTCACCCCTTCCCTCACTCTCTCTCAGTTTTTCCCTCCCATCCCATCCACAAGTTGTATCGTTAATTTTCATCATAGTGTCCAGTGAATACCATTGCTGCATTTGTTCACCCTTTGTCCCACCATTTCACATACTCCCAAAGACATATAAACGAAAATAAAGAACAAAAATAAAAGAAAAGGGGCTGGGAAGGTGGCTCAGTGGTAGAGCGCTTGACTTGCATGCCAGAGGCCCTGGGTTCGATTCCTCAGCACCACATAAGCAAAAAGAAAAAAGCCGGAAGTGGCACTGTGGTTCAAGTGGTAGAGTGCTAGCCTTGAGCTGAAGAGCTGAGGGACAGCGCCCAGGCCCAGAGTTCAGGCCTCATGACCGGACCCAAAAAGAAAAAAGAAAAAACAAAAACAGAGTTCGTTTTGATAAATATTACTTTGTATAATCAGATTTTTTTGTTGTTGTTTTGTCAGTTGTGGGGCTTGAACTCTGGGCTTATGCCCTGTCCCTGAGCTCTTCAGCTCAAGGCAAGCGCTCTACCACTTGAGCCACAGTGCCACTTCTGTTTTTTTTTTTTCAGTGGTTTATTGGAGATAAGAGTCTCATGGACTTTCCTGCCTAGGTTGGCTTTGAACCTCCATCCTCAGATCTCAGCCTCCTGAGTAGCTAGGATTACAGGTGTGAGCCACCGGTGCCTGGATCTTTTTGGTGTCAAATGTATTTCTGTTTTTGTTTTTTCATATATGTCTGAGTAGTACATTAACCTAGATCATTATCAAAAGTACAACTTGTGCCAGGTGTTGGTGGCTCATGCCTATAATCTTAGCTACTCAGGAGGCTGAGATCTGAGAATTGAGGTTCAAAGCCAGCCGGGGAAGAAAACCAGAAGTGGCACTGTGGCTCAAGTGGTAGAGCCTTGCCTTGAGCTGAAGAGCTAAGGGATAGTGCCCAGGCCCAGAGTTCAAGTCCCATGACCAACAAAAAAAAAAGTACAACTTGTGCTGGTCATTGGTAGCTCATACCTATAAGCCTAGCTACTCAGGAGACTGAGATCTGAGGATCATGGTTCAAAGCCAGCCAGGCAGGAAAGCCCATGAGACTCTTAACTCTAATAAACTACTCAAAAAGCTAGAAGTGGCTGGGAATGTGGCTTAGTGCTAAGAGTGCATGCATGAAGCCCTGGGTTCAATTCTTCAGAATATAAACAGAAAAAGCCAGAAGTGGTGCTGTGGCTCAAGTGGAGGAGTACTAGCCTTGAGAAAAAGCAGCTCAGGGACAGTGCCCAGTGCCCATACCCTGAGTTCAAGCCCCAAGACGGACACACACAAACACACACACACGTACAATTTGGGTTGTTGTTTGAATTTTGAAGCACAGTAATTTCTGTTTTTTAGATCAAGCTACTTATATAATATTATTTTTCTTGGGCAGTACTGGTATTTAAACTCAAGATTCACAGCTGGCCTTCTCCCTGCTGAGTTGCACCTCTAGCCTGGCTTTTTGTTGGTTATTTGGAGTCAGGCAGACTTTTCTGCCTGAGTTGGCTTCAAACTGTGAGCTTGCAAATCTCAGCCTCCTGAGTAGCTAGAATTATAGGTATGAACCACCTGTACCCAGCTTGTATAGTATTCTTTTTGTTTGTTTGTTTCTGGTCAGTCATAGGGCTTGAACTCAGGGCTTGGGCACTGTCCCCTAACCTCTTTTTGCTTAAAGCTAGTGCAATACCACTTTGAGCCACAATGCTACTTCTGGTTTTTTGGCAGTTAATTATGGATAACAGTCTCATGGACTTTCCTGCCCAGGCTGGCTTTGAACTGCAATCCTCAGTTCTCAGATTCCTAAGTAGCTAGGATTACAGGTGTGAGCCACCAGCACCTGGCTTTGTCTAGTCTTCTAACTGTAGTCTGTGTCTCCTGTCTAAAATATCATCAGGGGCTGGGAAGGTGGCTCAGTGGTAGAGCACTTGCCTTGCATGCGAGAGCCCTGGGTTCGATTCCTCAGCACCACATAAGCAAAACGAAAAAAGCCCGAAGTGGCACTGTGGCTCAAGTGGTAGAGCGCTAGCCTTGAGCTGAAGAGCTGAGGGACAGCGCCCAGGCCCCGAGTTCAGGCCCCATGACCGGACCCAAAAATAAATAAATAAATAAAATTAATTAATTAATTAATAAAACATCATCAGTATATTATAAAAGGTGGTATATACTAAAATATATCAATGTATATTTTCTTGTAGCTTAATAATAATTTCCACTAAAGTATGTAAAATTTTAAGCTTCAAGGACTGGAGCCAACAGCAGAGTATGTAATTTAACTAAATTTAAATATGTTATAAAAACGTAAGCAGGACTGAAAATATGGCTCAGGGATGGATCACTTGCAAAGCATGTTCAACTCTGTGGATTCAGTATACTGCACCACAAAAAAGGAAGAAAAACAAAGAAAATGAAGTTTAAAGTATTTCTTTTTACATAGAATATATTTAAAATTCTTATATTTGCATATGACATCCTTATTTTTTTTCCTGCTTTGTTCCTCCCTCCTTCTCTCTTTCTCTTTCTTTCTCTTTTATTATGCCAGTATTGGGGCTTGAAGTCAGGGCCTTGGGTGTTGTCCTTTAGCTTTTTTTTTTTTTTT